TAACTGAGCCATGTCTAGTAGGTAAATTTTTATTTTTCCTGATGCAAATGAAAATAAAACTATTTTTACAACCAAAGTCATCGGCATGACTTGAAGAAGCAACACAAATGACAGGGGCCGACTGCACCTCAGTGGCAAAGCACTTGCCCAGCAGGCCCTGGCCTGGGTTCCATCTCCAGCACCACAAGAAAGCACACAAAAGAAACAAAAACCACAAATGCCATCTGCACTTTTTTTCCTCCAGAAATAACAGAGCAGTCCAGTCTGTCTTAAAGGTTTAGCATTTGCTGTAGCCGGTGCTAGTCCTGCTCTCTCCCTGGTGGAAATCACAGTTGTAATTGGTGCATTTGTGACTAGCCAGTGTTTGCTTGTAGCCTGATCACTGAAAACTAACAATCACACCGACCAGAATACGGCATGAATGCAGACGATGAAGGATTTTGCCTACCTGGCATGACATACATTCTGCTAAGGCCTGTGAAGGATGCAGTGGGGAGGTGTCTGTGGTCCGTACACAGCACACCCATGTCACAAACATGCAAGATAGAGGGCTTTTGTCTTTTTTGGGGGGTCTATTTTGTGTGATTGCTCTGAAGACCTAGCACAAATTGGGGAAGATAAAACCCATACCCACAAGTTTTCATCAGCGTGAACTGACTTTCTTTTCTGATGAAACACTGCTTGGACAAATGCTGATAACATGTATGTGACTTTAGAACAGGTAAGAGGAAATGAGAACCTGATGACTTGGTGGTGACATAGAGCTGTCTAGCAAATGACCTCATAACTAGAAATAATGAAAACATGACACTACTTTCTGTGGAATTAAATTTGGCATCATAAATACCTACTGAAGTTCCATTCATAGATTTCTGAGCTGCAGAAAGCAAATTTATAAAAAAAAAAAAGGAGCATGTAAATGAATCATCCTTAGCCCACTGAGTAAACTCTCTTTAGTTCTAGTTAATTCTATCCAACACTACTGAATGCTCAGCTTGAGATGCAGTTGACTGTGGGCTGAGTACAGTGCCAAATGTTGTAATGCCAAGTGCACAAGTGCCTCACACACAAACATCCTATCTCTTTGCCTTACCTAGTCACAATTTTGTCCACTAATATGAGACTCTGATCATAAGTGAACACTAATTGAAGCTCAAGAATCTTCAAATGAAATGGAAGTGATAATGCAAAACAACACGTTAACTGTTAGGGTTCCTAACTGAGAGAGTTGGAGGTTTATTTTTTTGCAGCCTTCCAATAAACTTGGTTTTAAAATGTTCTAGTACATTTACTGGTACTCCAATGCTTCTTCTTCCCTTACTTCTACTTTAGCACTAAAGTTTTGTCCATAGCATTTCACGTGTGTTTTGCTGCAATGGCTGCTGCAACCAGGTCCTCCTGTCTCTGGGTTCTCCTCGTTTCCCCTCGCCCCTCGTCTGCGGCAGAGAGGAAGATGGTCCTGGTGCAAACCCAGAGAATAAGCTGTCGCCCTGACTGCCCTCCTTGCTCCTCACTTTGCTTCTTTCCTCAGGAAGCCTCCACACTGGTCCTCCCTGAATTTGTTGACTCCTCAGACACTCTTTCTGTTTTGTTTTTTCCCACTCCCTTCTGGTGGTACTGGGGATTGAACTCTGGGCCTCCCACATGCTAGGCAAGTACTCCACCACTCAAGCCAGGCTTCTAAATCCTTTTGCTTCGCATTTGTTTTTCAAACAGGTTCTCTTGCTTTTGCCCAGTCCAGCCTCTAGCCTCGATCTTCCTGAGTAGCTGGGATTACAGCTGTGAAACACCACGCTCAGCCTCCTCTTTCTGGTTTTGCCTTCACTTTCCCTCTGCCCTGCAGGTCAGCTTCTCTGGCTAGTTGGTAGGTGGCTCTGGCTCAGAGCTTCACTTTTCTCCCTGCCTACTCTGGACTATTCAAGAAGAACCATCTTGGTTGATATTAAGGAAGCTAATGGGAAACTTATTCTGTTCACTGGACATTTAACTTTCATGAAAAGAGAGAGCCAACTGAGATGCACATATTAGTAGCATCCCAAAGTAGTAATTTTGGTTCACATCTGTCTTTCTTACAAAGTATAAGCTTTCTAAGAACAGGGGCTATGTCTTATTATCTATGTATTTTTAGCCAGAGAACAAAGGGCCTCACCTAATTCTTGTTCGTTGAAAGAATCCATGGTACTCTTGACCTACAAACTTGTCACAGAGAGCCTCCAGATGTCTCCCACTGAGGCCTCATAGCCACTAGCACAAAGTAGAACAGTGCTTTGGGGAATGCCATGGACCTTCTGCCTGTGGCATATGTAGCAGCAAAGGGGACTTTTGCCACTGGGACTGTCTGCAGTTCCCCAGTCTTCCTTGGGGCATTGTGTGTTCTGTGACCCAAACCCACCATACAATTTACAGCTTGAGGCCGTGAGTGGCAATTTCAGAACTCATCACTCTGCTAGAGGATAATAAAGATATACTGTCCAAACTAAATTAGGCTACATGGTCTGATACATTCACATGAACAGGTTTACATCATGCTATTGGGAAACTAAAACTGCTTTTCTCAGGCAAGTTATCCTCACAGCCAGATTCCATCAAGTAAGATGGACGGCCATGTCTGCCAACAGAGTGATAAATGAGACCAATTCAGGTCCATAGCAGCAGAAAAAGGGGAAAATAGCTCAGCTTTGTTCAGACTCACTGGCAGTGTCTGGGGGAGGAATTCCTGTGACCAGTGTAAAATCATTTTCACAGAGGGTGCTGTAGGAGTTTTCTCACATACTTTGCCTGGATTAAAACACCTGTATTCCCAAGCAAAGGATATGCATAAAATCTTCCTTAAGGTAAATTCACAGGGAGGTAAGGGAGGGGGTGGGGGAAAGAGGGAGAAATGACCCAAACATTGTATGCACATATGAATAAAATAAAAATTAAAAAAAAGGTAAATTCACAGGGCACAGATTTAGAATTAAAATCTTCCCTCTCATGGTTTCAATCTGTGTGCATACTATGATGGCTGTTTGTGTGGAGCTGATGATCTGCTTTTTCAGGATGGATGTTCAGGTAAAGTGAGGACTGGATAGCATCCATGCTGTACCTTCATTAATGTAAACACCATGAACAACAACCTTTGCAAATACTCTAGGTTTTGTCTCTTCTGTTAAGCAGCTCTGTGATACAATTGATAGCATGGAAAATGAAAGTCAGGATAGATAGTCTGCCTTTGTGTGTGTGTGTGTGTGGTTTGGGGAATTGAACCTAGGGGTTCACATATGCTAAGCAAGAATGCTACCACTGAGCTAATCTCTGGCCCACAAGCTGCCTTTTTAAGCACACAAGAGCATCACAAATCTATTTGTGACATAACCTGTCACAAATAAAAACTTAATGTATACTAATAAATGAATGGCTTAGGAACTATCTGATCCTAGGAAAATTGTGCATCTCCCAAATATATCTCCCAGGTTTTCTCACCTGTAATATAGAAAAGTTAACCAGTACAATAACACCTACCTTGCAGGGTCAGCATTAAACTAGATAGGTAATATAAAATGCCTGGTGGAGAGCCTGGTTCATGGCAGGTACTCATTTCCCCAGTTCAGGGAGCACATATTTGCATACCCATATTTTCCCTATTTCATTCTGTTCCATCTACTATCTTGTTGACTCTCTAAATCTACCAGGGCAACCTGCACAGAGGACTTCATTAAAACGTTTATATGAACTCTGTCTTCCCTCTTACACCTGTCAGATTAACAATGGAAGAACTCATTCTTCATCTTGTGTTGAAATTATTCTGTTGATCCTATAAAGATGTCCTATAGAATTTAGTATGTGAATATTTGGGATGCCTGATACAGCTGCTGGCCCTAAAACTGATAATAACATGGAAGAACACTCTAAAGGGGAAATTCATATAACCTTCCTGATTTACCCACTCCATTTTGTCAGGGTAATACCAAAACAAAATACTCAATGAAAACGCCACTTTTTTTTCTTGGATGGAAAAGAATCAATGCTTTCTTAAGGTTATCTGAAATTATTACTATGTTGTGTGTATGTGTGTGTGTGTGTGTGAGAGAGAGAGAGAGAGAGAGAAATAAGAATTACTAACTTCTTTTTATTCATCAATTCTAACCTTTTTTCTTTCGACTTTCTTGGTCTAGTGAAGGCATGTTCAGCCAGTTGACAGGTACTTCTGCTAACCACACAAGGGTCCATCCCAAGCCCTTTGTTTCCTGTGGGCTCTTTCTCAAGCCTGACAGATGAGTGGCAGTGGTATTATTTTAGGAGTTGGGAAGTATGTCAGATTTGGGTTGGAGTTGGAAAAAAGACAATTCTTTTGCCTCTCCTTTATGTCTTCCCTGAGTTGTGTTACAGTTCTTAGTTATATAACAGAAACTTCCATCCCAGTCACAAGAACAACATTCTGTCAGTGTTGCATTAGAAAGGGATTAATCAGAAACAATTCTTAAACAATACACAGAATACCTGGCAATATTTTTGGGTACTCTTTCCAATAAAATCTTAGGGCAATTTTTGACATTATCTTTATATCTCCACGGTGATTTATGAGTCATATTAAGAAAAGTCTATGATAAATGACAAAATTTTGTGAAGCTATAGTGTGATTAAGTCGTGGACTCTCAGTCTCCATCCCTTTAATTTATGCAGTCACATTGCATGTTGACAGTATATATTCTGTTTAAAGTCTTTCCAATATTTCATGCCCAATCTCAGTGGCATTTCAAATGTACAGTGTGTTAACATGCTCCACTCCCACTCTGAGGATCCTTGAAGAAAACTGAAATCAAAAGCCATATCTCGGTTCAATCCAGTTTGCTTACATTTCAACACACATAATCCACGTAACAGACCACCACAGCAAAAGCCACAATACACGTGCACGCCCACACACACACACACACACACACACGCGCAGCATGGAGCTAGTCACACGACTTAACAGACAGTACGGACAAACTCGAGTATAAGCCAAGGTTTTCTACCTCTTTTCATAACAGGGTAGTGCTGGCCCTCAGTGTTGGTGTGCAGTTTTTATGGCATGGGAAAATAGGGATGTTTCTGCCCTATAAAAATAAATGTGTTGAAAGCTTTAGTTTGAGCTTATGCAAAGTCAGAAAGTTCCAAAGGTACTTGCACAACACAAAAATAAATAAGTAAGTAAAGTAAAAAGAATCCCACAAATAAATATAGATCACCAAAACAACATGGCAAGATGCTAAAAAAAATTCTGCTACGAAAACTGCTGGTTTCCTGGGTGATATATGCAATTGTTTCCACACTTTCATGGAAAAGAAAGAATAAGAGAGGTGGGCTAGAGGCAGCATTAGCTTTCCCCCAGCCACACTGAGCAAGTCCTTGGCTTTAAACTGCTTGTTAGATCATTTTCTCACTGCAGAGGCAGAAAGCACAGAACCCTCATTGTTCTCAATTTTTTAAGCCTAAGGAAGAGCTGAGGGAAAGAACACAGAAATGCATGCATTATGGTTAATCAATTAGAAAAGATAAGTGCAGTACAAATATAAAGAAAAACTGATTCATTAATTTTTATATATACACCTCTCTCCAAACCTTAGTTCAACACATGTAGTTGCTCAGGTATGATGTATTTATCTATTTTAAAAGGGTTGGGAAAGACAGGTAAGCAGGAAGTTAAGGATTTGAATAGAGGCAGTGCTTTTGCTGTTTCATTAAAAAAAGCAAGATGGGCAATGGGCTAGAAACAGGGAAACTGGGAAAATTTCATTGAATTTAATGACATGTAATTCCTCAAAAACAGAACTTACCACATTCTGTGCAAATTTCTCAAAGGATGTTCTGCGATCCATTGAGTTTCCAGACTTATATGTGTGGGGTGGGGTAGGATAAAGGGGAATAAGGGAACATTAAAAAAAACAAAAGCAGAAAAACAGCAGAAAAAGACAGGATGATGGATGACGCATCACTAAACCCATGTTAAATCCCAGGGCCCATGGTGGCAGCAGAGTTGCCAGGGGAGGCCTCTTGTCACTGGATTGGGTGCTGTTTTCATTAGTGCTTTTATTTTTACCACCAAAAGCTCTTCTTGTGCAAACAACATGGAGTGATCTCAAGCAAAATCAAATTAGGCAGAAATGAAGCAATATGTCAAGCTTTTATGCTGATATTTGCAAAGCCTAAATATTTGAAAACCTAGTGGTGTATTTTCAGAATTTCCTCATAATATTCTATCAGGGCTAAATATCTGTTGATAGCATCATTGATTGTACAGAGCAGTGCCATAACTACATCTTTTTGAAAAGATGGAAATTCCATTTGATGCTGTCCAATATTAAAGCCTCTGGCTGTGGTTACTGAGCACTTGAAATCTGGCAAGAATTTTATGGAATTTCGATTAAAATTAAAATTTAAATAGCCTCATGTAACTGATGGCTCCATATTGGATATGCAACCACAGATATAAAATATGTATTTCAAGCTGTAAAGGCAATGGTCTTAAAAAATTTCATCAGCTTGAATGCATGAATTGCACAAAACCACAACTTAATCTCAGACTTTCAAGAGGCTATGAATTATTTTAACATTAAAAAATAATGAAGGATGTTGATTTTTCTCTTCAGATTTTCCATACCCTATTACACTGATTGCATAAAGAATTATGGGCAGTGAGGCTTTGGTTGTGAACATTAGTTAAATAATGAAGACTACTATAATTCTCCTGAAATGTGCTTGGATGCCATCTTAGGTGCTTGAAATTCATCATATGGATAATAATAAAATTTATTCATCAGGATAAAAGCCCAAAGAAAATATTTTTATGCAAATGTTGCTACATTTTGGTCGATTTCATTAAAAAAAAAGTGAATCTATTTTTAATTATGAACATATGTTCTAACTTTGTAAATAGATAAAGGTCACTTCAAGCTTTTGACATTGTCCTTTTCTTTATTGTAATTCTGGATTTCCTTAAACTAGGCATACAGAAGATGAGCATGAAACATGAATACAGCTTCTAATAAGCTTTGTAAAGCAAGAACATCTTTAGAAAGAAATAAAAAGTAATGCATAAGCAATTAACAAACAAAAATGAAAACAATTTTAATGGTCCTTATACAATGAAAGGATTGGGGAAGGTCTTGGGGTATATACAACTTACCATTTGTCTAATACCCTAGGCCAAGTAGAGGTAATTACTCTAAATGACTGTAACTAAGAATAAGGGCAGAAAAAGGTCACAAAGGACCAATACCTTTTTCTTTGCCTGTAGAAGTTCCTGATAGGCACTGGATCTTATAAAACGGGGGTATGAGTCACTTTTCATCAGTTTGTAAATGTGCTCCTAGGAAGAAAAAAAGACTGAGTGATTCCTTTATTCTTTCTCAGGAAAAATAAAATACTACAATAATACCATGTGTAGTTAAAGAGCAAAATAACAGCTAAAAATAGCGACAGTGACATTGAGAATGCCTTGTACATTTACATTTTCCAATACATTATTTCATTCATGGATCAGTGTTCAAGTTGGTGTTGGAGCTATGGAGGAGGAGGAGCACATCCACTCATTTTTAAAAAAATGGAATTTTGCTAACTTGATGTCATGAAATAATTTCAAATCAAGTAGTTGATTCATACAGAACATTGGACAATATGAATAAATCTGCCATCTCTAAAATTACTCCAAAAGTGGATGACATGGAGTCTAGACAGCCATCATCCTGGATCCACATTCTTGGCCTCCACATCTTCCAGGAGGGTGCAGGCAGCCCAGGTTAATCATCTCCTTGGGATGAATTCATGGAAAACTGGCACATACTTTGGGCCAGACTTCAGTCCAAAAATAAATGTTGTGATATTTAACTGCTAAATCTCCAAATTTGTGTGCTTTTTAAAAAAAAATTCATAAAGTGACAGGGTAGGTGGATATTTTATCATTCACTCTTAATAAATCTGCAATGTTCTACTTTTTTTTCAGTGCTGGGGATCAAACCCAGAGCCCCATGCATGCTAAGCAAGTGCTCTACCACTAAGCTGTACCCCAGACCCTGCTTTATTTTAATGATGAATGTTAGTAGATAAAGAAGTCAAATAAAGACAAAAGTGTATTCATTTGGTTCAATATTGGTCCAATCCTGGGTGGTTCTCCTATTAAGAAATGACTCTGTTGGTCTTATACACTCCAGCAACAATCTCAAATCACTCAGGATACAATGGTATTCAGAGTTAAGCATCAAGATCTAGCCCATGGTTGAGCTTCAAGAATATGGCACATTTAAAACTCTATCAGAATTTATTTGAAAAGTGGAAAAATGTCTGGGTTGGAATTGAGCATCCTGAGATTCAGAGCCTATCTTCCTCAAAATCTGCCATTTAGGAATGGTGTAAATTCACATTAATTTCTTCGTTTCTCTGATCCGTAACTTTCTATAAAACAGTTCTGTTGCAAGGATTAGCGTTTCAGGTGTGCATAGTGGTTATCAAGTACACTGCATATATGCTAGACACACTCCCAGTGTTGGCTTATATTAGCTCATGTGATCTTCCTTCACAAAACACCAAAGACGTTAGTGACCATTTTTATGCCTATTTTAGGCGTGAAGGAACTGAGGCACAGAGAAGTGCAGTTCTTGCAAGATATCACCAAGCACAGTTCAGATCAGAACCCAGTGCAACTCCAGAACTGGTAGGATGAAAACAAAAATGTACAAAAACCTGGAGTGACATATCTAAGCTTAATTGAAAAAAAAAAAAACCAACCCAGTCCTAAGATCTGGTGATAATAGGTTCTGTAGAAAAATATTCCTTTTCTTCTTACTTGGGGTCCTGTCAAGCAATGATATTTTTCAGTCACTTGGAAAACAAAGACATGTTTTCTTCAAGAATTCAGGGAGGGCTTTTTTTGCAGCCTCTAAAATGATGCTTGGCATTTTATCTGGAACTGAAAGAAAGCTACAGCAGAAGATAATAGAGTGGTAGGGTCACATGTGTCTCTGTAAAATGTCATTTCTTCTACATACGAGACCCTGCCTGAGCCACAGGGAACAGGTGTCTACTTACTGTTAAAATCTGTGTTAATTTTCAAGGCAGTGGCTGATTTCTTTAAATGAAGCCAAGAAGAAATGTATTTTCTACTGAGAGTAGAAATAAGGGAAGACATTTGTGCATCTTATTCTTGAACATCTATATTAGTCATGTGATTATTAAAAAGGAAATACTTTTCAGGGCTAATATTCTTCTCTAAAATAATTTTGAGAAATTATACTTGTTCTGATGTAAAAGTCAACTTCAACACATCATTAGGAAATAATATCCATTCATTACAAGTTTACATTTTTCTTACATACCAATATTTTCCTGGAGAATGTAGAGATTCTGGTTGTTTTTAGGAAAGCAAAAAAGGTTCAGTTGTAGGAAAAAAAAGATTGAAAATTTGCCTTAGGAAATTAAAATCTATTTCCTTTTTTTTCTTTCTGCAGAGTAAAAATTAACTTGAAAAATTAACAAATGACTGAATCTATCATTTCATTTTTTCAGTAGAGACAAAACTGGCTTGAGTCTGACAGAACTTTAAGCTATCCTGTCGTGACAATTCAAAATAATGGATTATTTAAAATGGCAGCAAACAAAAAAAAGGTGAGGTCGGTCAGCATTGTGTTTGCTCACATGTTGGGTCCAAATAGAGAAGACAATAAAGCAGAATTTCAAATATTTCAAATTGCTTCTCCATAAATTCTCAAGCAAAACTTTAAATTTATAAAACATTTCTGGGCTTTACTAGACTCTACTTTGAAGTATCTTTGTTCTTTTCTAGATCAATGAGAGCTATTTATATGCAGTTACCTGAACTAAAAATATTGCCGATGGCTGTGAATAATAACGATACTGAAGGTGCAGTCTCACAGCACCCCATCTCAGGAGCACCTTGGTGATGGAGATCCACCACGCACTAACCTGAGCATCTTCAAACGTGTATCTCCCAGGCTCCTTCACATTCTGGGTTGTCTTGTCATAACTCTTAGAATCCAGGTTAATGGCACTGGGTGCTCCTGGAGCCAGAAATTCTTGCCATATTTCCTGAACTCGTGAGGGCACTTCCCGGATGGGCCTTTTCTTCAGGTCCTCCACTGCTAGCCAGAATCTACGCAAAAGGAGGAGTGTTTACTCCAACAACTCAGGAAGTGAAAATTCTTGTAATCTATACTCATCATCCAGCTCATCATGATGCAGAAAAGCTAACGGACTTTGTCTGAGGGTTTTCTGTATTAGTATTTCCCATAATTGTATTCAAAGGCAAAAACACTTTGGAAGAAAACACAGAAAAACATCTGTTTTAACTGATTGCTAGTAAAAGCAGAGCTGCCACAGCCCTGACCCTATATAATCTTAATTTTAATGAAACAAAGGAGCACTGCTAGAGAATTATTTGTTAGAAAGAAAGAGGAGTTCTGGATGTGGTGGTGTATGCCTGTGGTCCCAGCTATGCAGGAGGCACAGATAGGAGGATCAGGGTATGATGCTGGCCCCAGATAAAAATGGGAGATTCTATTTGAAAAATAACTAAATCAAAAAAGGATGGGAGGTGTGGCTCAAGTGGTAGAGTACCTGTCTAGCAAGCATGAGGCCCTGAATTCAAATCCCAGCACTGCCAAAAAGTATAATAATGATAATAATATTTTGTAAATAGAAAAAAAAAACCATCTATGCTAAAGGAACTGCTGCATGAGTTTGTAATTGATGCCTATCCAAGTCATTCCCACAAGCTTTGAACACCTCAGGTATAAGAAAGTCTCCATTCTCAAAGAACTTGCAGAGAAAAAGATCCACCATCCCAAATGCCAGAAGCACTTGAGAATCTCTCTAGGAAGTGTACACCTGACAGTCTGGGAATGTCCTCAATGCTGGGGCCAATGCATGGCTGAGAAAGGGGTCCAGTCAAAGCTACTCCACAAGCAGTAACATCTGAAAGGAACAGACCTGGAAATAAGAACAAACTATCAAAGGACCAAGACTTTCTTTCTCTTTTTTCTTTTTTGCATTACCAGGGTTTGAACTCAAGGATTCTGCCACTTGAGACCTCTTAGCCAGCCCTGTTTTTTGTGCTGGATTGTTTTGAGACAAGGTCTTGTGAACTATTTGCCCAGACTGGCTTTTCTGAAGCATCCTTCTCCTGTTCCCTGCCTCCTGTGTGGCTAGGATTGCAGGTGTGAGCCACCTGTGCCCAGCCATGATGCTAACATTAACACATACATTGTGCCAAGTGTTCAGCTCTATGAATGCACACAACACCCCAACACCTCCATTTCTACAAATGTACAGAAGTGGACACTGAGGAGATGAAGATTAAGCAATTTACTTAAGATGGCCCACTATTGATGTTGTTGGGTCTGGAGACCTAAAGGGCAGATGAGTGAGTATCCCATCCCCATGGAGAGCTCCATGAGCCCTGCACCTGACAGGGAGGTATAAACCTGCATTCCTGCATCCTGAAGAGGAGATACAGGGTCTCATAAATCTGCCACGGGGTTGATAAAGAAAACATTCTCAAGGTTGATGCCCCGCTCAATAAGGGGCAAAAAGACCAGCTCATGGAAGAGTCCATGTACAAATACACGGCCAATAGAAAAAAACCCACCTAACCAATACCCTAACCCAGAGTTAAAGCGTTCACATGAGCAGGGAGCCACTGGTGTCCAGGCTCTGCTGCACTGCTCTAGCTTCAGCCTTTCCTTTCTCTGTAATAAATCCTACTTCATGTACCGGCCTTGGCTCACAAGTCATTCACTGCCTTATGAGCCAGTTCTTGTGAAGGCAAGGACCCTCAACATTTTACACCAGCATGTCACAATGTCATAGCCATAGTTTTGCCCCTGGAAAATCTGACATAGATGACATACTCACAGTTGGTCCATCACACTGTATCCCCTCTCTCCCCAAGCAGTGCTGCCTCCCTCAGCCTCAGACCAACTGCCATGGTTGTAGCAGTTTAGCAGAATGGAAAGGGTGCTGGTTAAATCCCACTCTCTTTACTTGATAGTAGCTGGGATGTGAGGAAGTCTTTTAACACCTTCAAGTCCTGGATTCCTCCTCCACAAATTAGACTGACAATACTTGTTTCATTGGGGTTCCATTGGATTAAATAATCTAAGTTTGGTAAAGAACACTGGCATATTTTCAGGCCCTCAAGGATAAAACTCACATATTGCTACATTTATTTAGCACGTGCTATATGCTTGTGCTTTGTCTGAAAAAGGAATGAGCACAGCACATCAAGGGAGAGCAGGGTGTATTTGAGGGTGAGCAGTTATGGATAAGCTGTGTTTATTGCTTGTTTCCTGTCCTGATATGTGAAGAAAATGCACATTCCTGTCAATACAAGTCCTTCAAGACTACTGCTGCTTAGACAAGATGGACTGAGTTATTTACATGTAATTTACAACCCTGCTAGATAACTGGACAATCTCATCTCCCTAGCATGTGACACACATACACAGACAGAAGCAAGGTGGGGCTCCAATTTGGGGAGCAGTGGACAGTAACCAGGTACTGGTTTACGGAAAACGTGTGATCTGACCTTGTACAAGACACTTACCTACTTCAGACATGTTTTGCTTATCTATCAAATGAGGCAATGATATTTACTTTGTCTATTTGTTGTGGTTATTAGATTTGTGATAGTCAAAAATAACGAAGACAAAATACACCATAGCATATGTATAGACATAGTGTATGCAAAACATATTCTCATGTATATTAGATATTCAAAATTCTGTCTGCAGCTATTTTTTTGTCATATATCTATACTTACTTAGGAAACATATGATAGGCATATAGATACTCAAGAAATGTATGTCATATGTCATATATGTATGTGTAAAGAATATCTGACATTTATTTTTTCTTCTTTGGTAGTACTGGGGTTTGAACTTGGGGCCTAGGCAAGTGTTCTACTTGAGCCATGTCCCCAAACCCTTTTTTGCATTAATTATTTTTTTGATAGGGTCTTGCATTTTGCTTGGGGCTGGCTTTGGATGGAGATTCTCCTATCTACACTGCTCCCATAGCTGGAATTATAGGCACATGGCACCGCACCTGGCCCTCTAGTATTTCTTTGTGTAATTATTGAGCCAGGAAACAAGTAGGGCGTGGAGTTAACATGAGGAATGATTAAGGTGTGATTGAACTAAGGAACTGACAGTGGTTCAATCCATACATGAGGCAGCTATGCATGTGCTACTCTCTTCCTCCCAAATGTCTTCACTCTGCCTTTTCTGCCTGGTTCTTGCATTCTCACCACCAGTTCTCAGCCTATAGGCCATTTCTCCTATCATGCCTTTGCTGATCTCTGGTTCTAGGTTAGGCATCCCTCTGTACTTCTGTGTACATGCCCATTGCCCCATTGCTTTGTGTTGCAACTACTTTTCTTGTCTGCATCCACCATGGGACTATAGTTATAATGAAAGCCCGCATATTTTTCTTTGGCTGGGTGATGCTGGTGGGTCTCAGTACATATCTATTCCTTCCTCACTATACTCGCGATGTCATTATCTATTAAAAACCTGAATGAATGTCAGGACTATCTACCCTTCCCTCAGTAACATGCCACAAATATCTTGCATCTTTGCTTTCTTTTTAAAAATTTTATTGGCATATAATAATTGTACAAAGGAGTACATTGTGATATTTATATATGTGCTTACAATGTATCTTAGTTAGATTTACCCCTTCCATTGTTCTCCCTCCTCACATCTCCCCCCTTAAGACAATTTCAGCTGGTTTCATTCTTCTATTTTCATATATGAATACACAATGATTCCACCTCCTTCACCGTTTCCTTATGCCCAGCTCCTTCCATTTTGCTTTATTTTTAATGCATTCTTGCACTCAATCATTAATGATGTGAATTCCAGATAGAAAATGTTAATTAGTAGGCAAATAAAAATCCTTAGCAACTGTAATCCTGCCAAAGCCCCACCAGGAAGGGTTTCCTAACCTTGAAAGGGAATAGGAAAGAGCATCCCAACAAACCAGGGCAGGCATAGTAGAAACTTAACCCCTTTCAGGCTTTATCTGTGGTCATCCTTAGACATCTGTCAACTTTCTATGCATTTCTGAATGGTTTGGTATTGGCATCTGTGAAATCTCCTGAAAGGTGTGACAATACCTGGTGCTGCTTGCTTCCAATGAAAGTGAATGAATGCTGAGACCTTTCTGTAAACAAATTTCACAAGATGCAAAGTCATGGAAAAGGGAAAATGGGGTATTGGGTTTATAAGAATAGTGAGTGAGAAGCCTCAGGCAAAGACAGTTTCATTGAGTGAAGATTTATATTACTCACTTCAATGATCCTAAGCAAAGCCATTAACGTTCACTCTAAGGTCTCATATTTAAAATGCTATTTTGAGGTGCCCTTTAGAAAATTTCAAAAGTGTGTGAGGATGATGTTTAGGGCAGAAACAGGTGCCTTTCCTCACTAAAGGTTCCATACCCCACTGCTGTCAACTGCCCTGTGCAAAGTAACTGAGCTGCACTCAGAGTTTTGTGTCCAGATGTTGACAGAGGTGTCCACTCTATCTTACTGAAGTAGTGATATTTGGAGAAGATTAATATTGAGAAATAGGTGATAATTTGCTGCACAGATACTATTTGCCATTTTTCATTTTGCCAAACATTGGTCTAAGAATTGTGTTTCTTTATGGAGTCTATTGCAAAAGTATTAAATTTATACAGGTTAAGAACTCAGAGGCAGTATAAGATAAATTATGATGAGGTATTGGTGATGTTGTTCCAGTCTTATTTTGGTTATCTTTTTTCCTCCTAATAGGTGGCAGAAATTTAATGGGTTTATAACATCACCACGACATTGGTGGGAGAATAGTAGGTTTACTAAGTCCAGAGTAACTAGACATTTCATAAATAGTGTCTCCCTGGATTAAAGTACAAGAACAAAACAACGTGTCTTACCTCAAATTCTCTGAGCTGAATTCTGACTCTAGAAATTTCAGGAATTGTTCTCTCCCAATGGGGTCTTTCAATGCCTCATCCATGCCAAATCCCCATCGCTTTACCCTCTGTTGGCTCGGTTCTTTGCTATGGGACATAAAACAAAGCTAAATATATCCCTTTCATTACAATTTCTATTTCCTGTATTCCATTTCCCATAGAGTCATGTATGCCTAAAGTTCCCATCTTTAACTTGTCTTTCAGAAAAACAATATACCTCTGATTGACTGTTCTTTACAAAATCCTAATGAAGAACAAGTTAGAGCAGAATAAGGTTTTACATTTATTAAGCTTAGGTGCTAGGTGGTCTAGATGAATTATCTTAATCTTTTTCAATAATTTTTATGAGTTAGGTACTATTACTCTTCATTTGATGGATGAGAAAATGGAGGCACAAAGAGAGCCATAATTAGCCAATATCAGGCAAGTAATAAGGGGGAAGATTGCGACACTGTGCCAGCAGCCCTATTTCTTAGCCACTGAACAGTGTGCTCGCATTGTGGCAGGCTGCACAAGGGAAGAGGCTCTGATGACTTGTGGTTGAAGACCTCTGGACTTACCAATATTTATGATGCATTGCAGACATGAAAGAAAGAGATGACCATATGTGCAATCTGGAGAAGTGCAATAGAGCACTGGCTCTATCTTCATGAAGAGCTGATCTTTGAATGGTTCTGTCAAGCATGATGCTATAATTATTCCCCTAAGAGCTCATGAAAAAAGCTAGGAGTCCTGAATTGTGCTTTGGTTTTCTTAAGTCAGTTTCTCTTATAGTGTTTGCCATAAGTTCATTTGCTTTTAAAATTGAACTTACAAAGGAATACTTGTATTGGCTTAATTAAACATGGATTTCACCTTCATTTTGCTTGAATACAGGGGCCACTAAAAGAGCAATGAGCTGAATTTCAAGAACTGAAGACACAAGAACTCTGGCTAACTCAGCTTGAAATGAATATTGGGCCAGGTTTTTCAGGAATTCATATCTGTTATTAAAATTAAGCTTACATTTCAACCGATCCATAAAAACACAAGAACTGCATATGTAGGAATATATGGAGTATCGTGACATATTTTGGTATGTGGTAATGGTGAAAGCATTCAGAAGTCTTTCTTTAGCTTTTTGAAATGTACAGTAGCATAATTACTTACAGTTACTTTATTCTGCAATAACACAGAATTTCTTACTGCTTTCTAACTATAATTTAATATCCATTGATTGAACTTTCCTCATCCCTCCTTCCCCACCCTCTCTGCCTCCCTCCATAGTCAGTCTAGCTTCTTTGAGACCAACTTTTTTATATTTCACAAGGTCATGAAATACTCTTGTTTCTTTGCCTGGCTTATCTCACCAAACACAATGATCTCCAGTTCCATCCATATTGTCAAGAATACACCGGCTACTCCAGAGGCACTTGCACACCCATGTTTATTGCAGCACTATTCACAATAGCCAAGTTATGGAAATAACCAAGATGCCCCACCACTGACGAATGGATTAAGAAAATTTGGTATTTATACACAATGGAATTTTATGCAGCCATGAAGAAGAATGAAATGTTATCATTCACAAGTAAATGGATGGAACTGGAGAACATCATTCTGAGTGAGGTTAGCCTGGCCCAAAAGACCAAAAATCGTATGTTCTCCCTCATATGCGGACATTAGATCAAGGGCAAACACAACAAGGGGATTGGACTTTGATCACATGATAAAAGCGAGAGCACACAAGGGAGGGATGAGGATAGGTAAGACACCCAAAAAACTAGATAGCATTTGTTGCCCTCCATGCAGAGAAACTAAAGCAGATGGTTTAAAGCAACTGAGGCCAATAGGAGAAGGGGACCAGGAACTAGAGAAAAGGTTAGTTGCAGAAGAATTAACCTAGAAGGTAACACCCACGCACAGGAAATCAATGTGAGTCAATGCCCTGTATAGCTATCCTTATCTCAACCAGCAAAAACACTTGTTCCTTCCTATTATTGCTTATACTCTCTCTTCAACAAAATTAGAGATAAGGGCAAAATAGTTTCTGCTGGGTATTGAGGGGGGAGGGGGAAGGGGGGAAGGGAGGGATGGGGGGAAGGGGAGAGAAATGACCCAAACATTGTATGCACATATGAATAAAAGAAAAAAAAAGAATAATGGAATTCCATCCTTTTTAATGGTTGAATACTATTCCATCCGCCATGCAAACTGTAATGCAAAAGCAATGTCTAAGGTATAAAACCATTATTTTGAACAAGAATATTAAATCATGGCCAATATAGATAAAGTGTAAAATCATCTTTACAAGTAACCAGCTATAAGATTTGTCCTGTTTCACCCAGACTCTGAAATAAGTGACATATACTGGAAGAAGAGAAAGTATCATTTACCTTGCTTCAAGTTCCCAGAAAGTAGTATCATCAGATAGCCAAGGGTTAGAAGGGTCAGGTGGCACAAGAAACGGGTCGTATTCTACGTACTGTTCCGTGTAACTTAGTAGACTAGGGAGAAAAAACAAAAAAATAAACATCTTCCCCTCCCTTAGTTCTCTGCCTGAAGTCCCTGTTCAAAGTAAGGCAACAGCACGAAAATCTCTGGCCAAGGACTCCATGCCGGTTCACAGAATTAAAGGGTGGCTTTAATTCACACCTCAATAACCGACACGCAACCTCCTGTGATCGTGGCACATGTGGTTAAGGATTCCTCCCTGCCACGCCCGGAGCAGGTAAGTTGACACCCCGCCATCAGAATGAAGGGCCCTGGGCGGTACTTCCAGTCCTTGCTTAATCAGTCCATCACAGCAGAGTGGATTTTAGACAGTTTAGAGAAGGGATGAAAAGGGAATGTTTGTCCAAAGCATATATAAGTATCGGGTAAAAAAGGAATCACTGACAAAATGTATATATGTATATATATATATATACATACATATATATGTAGTTTTTAAAAAAATCTATATTTAGAAACCAAAGAGAGAGTGAGAAAAGAAGTTGAGCAGTAGGATTTGGCAATATCTCGTAATGAAGCATATGAATCCCAATAAAAACAGATGAGAAGAAGAAAGGACATATCTTAAATCTGAATTTAATTCAGATTCTTAAAATAGGCAACAACAGAATAGATTCAGGATGTTAAAATCAATTTACAGAGTCTCTGAGCTGTCAAAAATTAGCCAGTAAGTTAAGTGTTCTTTCTCCAGCATGAGTGAGAAGATTTTATTCCTTGAAATTATCCTCTGTACCTGATTCTCTTTGTACAAAGAGTGGACCTCCAAGGATTGAACCATGATCATGCTGTTATTTAAACTATAACAAGGGTTCCTTGAAAAATTTTTATGTGTAAAACTAGAGAAAAAATAGGACAACACATTTTCAGAGTTCCAATTATTTATCTAAGCTCCCCTTCTAACAGTTCTCTTATCATTTGAACAAAATTGGCTCATGGCATTTTAAAATTCATATTGATATTTTGAAACACTTACCTATCAGCAACTTTTGACATTTTTAACCGATGTCTGTCTAACTGTATTTGCCAATATTTTATCTGTAAAGAGAATCAGGGTAGTTACATAAGTAATGACATCACAATTTTAACTCTGACTTTCAATAGACTAGGCAATTCTGAATAAGAACATTCTAAGTCAATAAAATTCAAAGCTGGCAAAAAACCAAAGCAGATGACCCTGAAAGAGTTAACAGAAAATTAACATCTATTTGAACATAAACATAACCAGTATAACTTTAGAACAGCAATGAGTTTGAATATTCTGCTTTCTTTAACCAAATGTAACTTCATTTGAAAAGTGTTGTGAAGATTTTAAACATTCATTTATGGTGAGTAATCAAATCCATTTCCTCACAAATATTTAATTCAGAAAATGAATGTATGTGCTTGGAGAGTAATTTTATCAACTCATGACTAATGCTCTCACATGGCTACAAAACACACATGAGCGACTCTAGCTTAGAAACTCTGAATTCCTTTTCTTTCATGGTGATTATAAATATACTAGAAAGTGAATATTTCAGTACTGATAAACCACACCACGTAAAATAAGAGTCAATGTATATGGATTAAACCAACCAAAGTGCTATGATTTAACCAACCAAGAGGTTTAACTACTATTTGACATGAGACATTGCTATTTGCTTTGAAATATTTCCTGGAGCCAAACTGGCTAAAAAAAGAAGCAATATATACCATGATTGTGCATCAGTGTTGATAAAGAAAATCTCCGCAAGGTTTAGAGAAATCAATACTACAGAAACAAGAATACACACTTGGTCATGATCATGTCACAACATTATATGTAGAAAAGGTGACCACTGTCACAAATTGACACATTTTCAAATGCCATGTCCTATAGTTAGACAACTTCATTATTACTATTGGTAATATTATTATTATTATCATTATTATTATTTTGGTGCTGAGGAATCAAACCTATGACCTCATGCATGCTAGGCAAGTGCTGCACCACTGTGTTACATCCCCAACCCTTCATTACTTTGTTTTGGTTTTTGAGACAGGGTCACTGTGTAGCCCAAGCTGGACTGAACTCTGCAACCCTCTTGTATCTGCCTCCTAAGGGGTGATATTGATTGCATTTGTGCACCACCACACCTTTCACTGCAAATCAATATGAAACAGTTGACCAGAGCAATTACCTTTGAAAATACCCAATATTAAAATTCCCTCTCTGCTCTTCATGGCTGTTACTCCGTACACCATCAGCAAGTCATTTCTCAGGCTGACTCACCTGTTGGTGCAGTTCATCTTCTGTTGGAGGTTTCATTTCTGGTGTGGGTGAGTGGGTTGGACTATGACTTCTAACATCATTTTGTAAACCATAGACAGACTAGATTAGGATAAAAACAAATATGTCAGGACAAAACATCCTCACTCATAGACTTTTGAAAAAACAAATTTGCATTATGTAAGCAGTAAGGCAACTCAAAACTTATTTGATGAGGCTGCTTATCCAAGTCCAAAAGGCAGTGCTATCAATAATCATCATAGACATGTACAACAGAAATATAGCTCTTTAAACTAATCAACACATTATAGTAAGTGTTGATTTCAGAGTAAAATCAAAGTGAACATAAAATAGAATAGAAAACTGCTAACTCAAAGAAGTTAAAAATGTCCTTATTTTTACATAGGAATGGAATGAAATACTGAGGAGCATTCTGCTGATTGGCTTCTGATGTGAACAAAGACATCTCAGAGTGCTACAACCTGCCCATCTCAACACCAGGCTACTGACTTCCCAATAAGTCATTTGTCAATTCATAAGTTATTGACCCTCACCATTGGTACCTTTGCAAACGCCGGTGACACCACAGGCTTCACACATCGCCAGAATTCTTGATATGGCAATGCTTCTTCATTCATCTGACCAAGAGGTCATACCCACTATTTTGGAAGACTCTTTTTTTGCTGTTTGTTTTTAGAAGACCCATTGCTTAGTAAGTATAAAGAAAGATATGGGGACCAAAGAGCTAAAAAACTATTCCCTACTGGAGGTGAGTCACCCCACATGTCAGTTCAAGAGAAAAACAAAATTACTTTTATTTAATATTTAAGTGTTATTACTTTAAAATAAAGAATTTAATATGTGTTTCTAAGGACTTCTTTGGACATGAGGAAGAACGATGAGTCATGATAAAATTACATAACTCCCACAAGGTAAGGGGACTTACCTTGCCTGGTAAGGTTTGCAAGGATACTGTTGAAATTAGATGAGGGTGGGTTCAGATGCTTTGTGGAGTCCATTTTCAGCCCCATTACCAAGCTCACCAGTATCTCCAAGTCCAAATGAGTTTGTTCCTGATCTACCTTTCCTTAGATCCTATGTCTCTTAACATTACCTCTTGGCTTTTGCACCCTTGGACACTCTGGACTTGAGTTTTTCCTTTGGGTTTCCCCATTGTTTTGCTCTTAGTCATTTTAAAACCTATTCTGACTGTGTCTAACCATAGGTATCATCCAATCCAGACTATCTTTGCTAGGTTCCTTTAACCTCCTTCTTTGTCCTATTTCCAACACCTTAGAACCTGACGCCTGTCTCTGGCCAACCATGCAAGTGAGAAAGGCAAACATTCCAATTAATAAGCAGCAATCACCACTGCGTTATCACTCAAAAGCTAGAATCATGAATTTGCTAATTTTTCCCCAGGCTGTGCACATTAGCTGCTCAATCACACAATTAATGAAAGTATTTAGGGCCACCATGTCTAAGTGAAGGTGACAAGGAAAACCAACAAGACTAGAAGCAGCTTACTGTCCTGAAATTTGGCTCAGAAATCACAGGACAGAATCCAAAATGTGGGTGAGTCACTCACAGGCAAACGCTTCCGTAATGGTAGTACTGCTCTAGTTATTGTCACATGGGAGGATCCAGCCTGTGGTGGACTTCACGTGTGAATTTGGTTGGGCCTCGGTTGCCCAGATATTTGGTTGAACATCATTGTGGCCGTGACAGTGATTTTTGGCTATGATTAGCACATAAATTGATGAACTGTGGGAATTCAGATCACCTTCCATAAAGTACTTCATCTAAACAGAACAAATGCTGGTCTTTCCTGAGTAATTACACCTCTAGAGTTTTTGTGGATTTGAACTGCAATGATTCTGGCAACTCTGCTGTGGCTTGCTAGCCTCCTTTGTCTGCCAGCCTCCTTAGTCTTTACAGTCCTCTCTATGCCCTGTTAGTTCTGTTTCTTTGGCGAACCTTGAATAATACACACCCAACTGTTATAGCAAATATTTTAGTATCAGACACACAGGGCCCTTTGCAACTTGTCTAGATTTGCCTGGGGGTGTAGCTCAGAGGTGCAGCATCTGCCTTGCATGGGCAAGACCCTGGGTTCAATCTCTAGCACAGGTGGAAACAACCAAACTGAACAAAATTAATTAAACAAAAATGTGTGTAGATTATGCCAGTTTCTTTTTGTTGCATTTATGTTATCATTCCTTCTTAGAGCCTTGAGAAAAAGTATTTTAACTATTTCTTTATATTTTAGTAAGGCATTTTAAAATTAAAAAGAGAGCTATTGAATTAATTAGTTTATTTTTATTATATTATTGTTGTGCTGAGGGCATGTGTGACGTTTATAAAATTTCTTATACTATACCATAGCTGAATTCACCCTCTCCATCATTCTCCTCTATTTCCCCTTCCCCCATTCCTGGAGTAGTTTATTGATTAGCCCTATTTTTTTTCATTTGTTTATTTTTAAGAGTGCTTAGGATTTAATCCAGGCCTTGTGTACGCCAGGCAAGTGCTCCACCCCTGAGCTATATGCCTGTCCTGACTAATTCTAAATTATCAAACATATCTCCTTAGAGATATTGATAAACATGTTTGAAAGTCAGTAATTAAACACAACATCCCCAAATGAAATGTAAAAATAGCCTGATGTTCTTTAGGCCGGTGAACTAGATTATCACTTCAGGGATTTACTGTTTCCCTTACTGGTGTTATGACATCACGAAGTATTATTCCAGCTGACTCCCAAAGAAATGAACAGCAGCTCTCTTTGCTAAGGGCACTGTCTGTTTTGAAAGATTAAACACGGTTCAGGAGTTCCACTTCCTTCCCTGCAGTCCTAGCAGGAGAAGGAGTGAAGCAGACAGTCCAATTATGGGGACCTAAAGGCAGCTCTGGGGCACAGGCCATGAGGCTGTGCCGTTTCTGTCTGGGATTTGTAACCACACAGAACCACCTACTCCACAGGGACACAGTTGTAGGACTTCACTTCAGAGGCCAGTGAAACAGTTCGATGCTCAATGTCAAAATGTTGAGGCAATTTTAAATCCCCTTTAAAACGTATTAGAACTAAGTTCCATCCCCCCAAATTAATTAGGGCTGCAGCCCTAATCCCCAGTATAACTGTATTTGAAGACAGGGCCTGTAAGAAGGTGAAAAAGTTAAGTGAGAACATAACAGTGAGACCCTGAGCTGATAGAATTAGGAAGAGGGAGAGAAATCAGACCTTTCTTTCTCTCTGTGCACACACAGAGGAAAGGTCATTGAGGACACAGCATGAAGACCACTGACTTCAATCCAGAGAGACTGCCCTTACAAACCACAAATGTGTGAGTGCCTTGATCTTGGACTTCTAATTTCCAGAAAAGTGAGATAATAAATTCCTATTGTTTAAGACACTGGTCTGCAGTATTGTGTATAATAGCACATTGAGCAAATTAATACATAAAATATGTAATTCTGCATATGTTCAGACATTCGTTCACATACTTGCTTAATACCCTTATTAAGCCATTAGTTGTGGTAGCAACCTGTTAAGCTTCCTAACTTAATGGATTATTTCAGTTCCTAACCAAAGATGATCTCAGTGGTACTAATTCTAAAAGACAAGTCAGTATGTGGCTTGGAGCCCTGCAGCCTTCTTCAGAAAATAGCATCTTATCTGCAATGATTGGAACAAATTCAGTACTCTGGCAATGAGAAGCTGTATTGATTAAAAGCTGAGAAAATCAGTTTTCTCCAGTTGTGGAAGACAACGGTATGCCTGCTATGTGCCATTGGATTTTTCGGAGCTTTTGTTTCTCTCTGGTACCCTTCAGTGCTACAGAGCTTTTCCAGTAAACCTCAGAATCCTACCATACTGATTCTCAGGAAATCAGGCTGCTTCCTGCACACGGGGAGCCAACGCTCACTGATTCCATGTCTTCAGAGCACCTTACCTCGTGATGCCTCATCTTTTTTGCACCATTAATAAAGGCTGGTGGCATGATTAGTGCTATGTAATAAACGAATACCTCTCAAGCTTTCAGGATGGTCGCCAGGGGAGTACAGGTAAGGTATCAACAGTTAAAAGAGGGTGAACCATCCCTTCATGATGGAGCAGGCCCTTACATGTTTACCCACGTGCATTCTCTTTGAACGAGAGCATGCCCCAGTCGGTGCCAGCTGGGGAAACATGACACCCAGGAAGGTATTTGGAGAGTACCTCTTCACAGTCAAAGGGTACAGGCAGGTGACTTCTGCACTCTGTGGAGAGCCAATTGTCTTTCTCAATCTTGTTCAGTTGAGCTGAGCTGAGGACAAAAGAGGCTAAGGAGGCCCAGCTTCAAAGGCCAGGAAAACTCCCTTGCTCTGGGCTGGCTTTGTCTCCTCCTCGCAGAGTTCCTCCAGGCAAAATGTTTGCATATTGCATCTAAATAGGTTTTGTGCCATTAGCCAGTGGTTTTCTTACCCTAATATCAGGGGAAGGTCCTTTAAAAGAAAGAAAAGACACTTGGGCCATATTGGGACCTTTGAACTTAATACTATATAGTTAAGGACTGAAGAAAAAGACAACATGAAATAAAACAAACAAACAAACAAAAAAAACAAACTATCTTAGTTTTAGTTCATGGTCCCGTGGGCACCTACTCTGGAAGAATGCTGCAGCACAAAAAAGAGATCCTTGAGTCTCTCTTCAAGGACAGCCAACCTGGGGTCTGGTCCCCAGGGTGAATGCTACAGGGGAGAAATTCTTATGGGTGTCACATGTTCTTTATAGAAAAATATGCAGTCATCCCTACTATGTGCTTTCAAAAAGCTATGGAAAATGCCAGTGATTTCAGGACAGCTTTTTCCTTTCGGCACCCACTCAGGGGTACACTGGAGTGCTGCCCTTATCTCACAGTGTGTCACAAGATTTTGGTGCTCAAAGGAAGTCCTCATCCTCCTTCTGTAATTAAAATGGCCCCTTTCCCTCAGACTTTTCTCTAAAAATGTCCTCTTCTCTTTGGCATCACTTTTTCTCAGATAAGCTCCGCCTCCTTTTTCTGTCTCCTGGGCTCACAGTCAACACCCTTGCCCACGATGGAAAGTGGGGGGGGGTTCTTCAGCTTTCCTCTCTTCTGTCACAGCCAGTCAGCACCACCCTTCTGCCTTGGGACTTGGATGGAGCCATTCCCAAGGAGAGAGGGATAGAGAAAACCATGAGAGGCAGAGAGGCCATGCCATGTTACAGGAGGAAGGTGTTTTGTGGGTGATGACCTGTGAACAGTGCAGCATGTTACCAGGACAGGTTACCAGGACAACACACTCAATTTACCTTCCGTGTTTTGTGTGGGTTTCTCATTCTGGATGACTTCTTAATGTCCACTTCTGTGGTATTTACACATCCAGGCTGGAAATGGAAAAACAGAGAGACAAAGAAATCTTTGGGTGTGAAGGGAATTCATTAAGACTCACTTTCCTGAGCCTGCACAATGGCCCCAAGTCCTAGAGAGCCACCCCACTTCCTCCAGCAGTGGCCAGTTTTCTGCCCTTTGCTGTTCTCAAAGCTCTCGTGGCTTTGCATGTGAAAATAGCTGTTGGTATTTCTAGCTGCCAATGGAGCACAGCAAGGGTGTCCTGAGAGTAGCAGAGATGCCCCACTTATGTCTGCACACAGCATCCTGCAGAGGTGTCCTCCATAGAGGGTCGCACTGCTTTTAGGTGGCCACTTGTTTTCCAAAGTGGAAAAACTAGAACAGCATTGAGTCAAGCACAAACCTGGGGTGAAGTTTTTATAGTGATTAGAATATTTGTTATATATTGACTGGAAATATTTGTTTTCCAAGACAGAATGTGCCATGGAGTTCAGGTTTAAAAATAAGATGGAGAAAGAAACTGGTAGTCAATAAACTGTATTTTTTCCTATACGTTCCCAACTTTTCTCTCCTTTTCCTTCAGGCCCATGAGTCCCTTTATAACAGGGGGTTGGAGGGAGGGAGAGAGAGAGAGAGAGAGAGAGAAGAAGAAGAAGGAGGAGGAGGAGGAGGAGGAGGAGGAGGACAGAGAGAGAGGGAGAGGTAAAGAGAAGAAGGGGGAGAAGGAGAGGGAGGGAGGGAGCGAAGAGGATGAGCGGAGAAAAGGGAAGAGGAGGGGAGGGGAGGAAAGAGGAGAAAGGGGAGAGAGAACATGAATTAAGAATATGGTACACCTCAGACTCTCCAAAAAACAACCTGGGAAGCAGCAGGAAAAGCCTGAGGAATGGGAATCAGGGAAGAAAGGAGAGTCACAAAGGCACAGAATTTGAGAGCTAGGAAGGACATCATCCTTTAGAAGTGATTAGAAGTTCATGGTTACATGTTGTGTTTCCATGCTTTCAAGTTTTGGTACAGGATTTAGAAATCTCTTGCATTTGTGAAAAATATCAAGTTGCACACGTCTGCTCAATTTTTTAATTTCTTCACAGATTACAAGAAAATTAAAGCATGAAGTGTCTGTGAAAGTGACTACTGACAAAATATAATTATGAAAAAGTCTTTCGTACAGTGGGGATGAGGTTGGGGAAGGGCAAAAAAGCAGTGCTGAAGTGATTAGAGGAACGAACAGCCCTCCACCACCCCTGGAAAGTCCAGGAGATCAGCTTTTGTGTAATGAGGAACTAAGATGTTTTCCTTTAAGAATCCCATCCTTATAGCTCAGGCATTGAGACAAAACTCCACCTTAATGGATAAAGCAGTGGATGAGCAAGCTGGGTATGGTGGTGCATACCTGTAATTCCAACACTGAGGAAGCAGAGGCAGGGAGATTGTGAGTTTGAGGCCAGCCTGGGCTACATAGTGAGACCCTGTCTGAAAAATAAAAATAAAAAATAAAATAGATAAATAAAAGACTTGGATGAGGAAAACATTTCTTCATTTTCCCTCCACAAAGGTTACAAGTAAACTATATACACACACACACACACCATAAACATTAAAATATAGATTTGGTTTGCATGTCTTTTTGGGAAGAAAAACAGCTGTTTTAACATAATGATCAGCTTCAGAGTGGAGGAAGAAGGAAGAGCACCCAGCTGGGTGAGACTTAGGTTCTCCCAGCACCAGGCTGAGCAGTATTCAATGTTCTTCCATCTTTCTGTGGTTGGTTTAGGTATTAACTTTTTTTCTTTTCTTTTCTTTCTTCTTTTTAAGGCCTCCAGTGATTTTAATATGCCACCAGAGTTCATAACCCTTGATCTAAATGTACCAAATGTTTTGGAAATACTAAACCATTGTGCTTTCATTTCTGATTCAATTTCTATTTCTTGGCAGTCTTCCTTCCCTAGACCTGAGCTATTAGGGAAGAGGAGGCACTAAAATTCTTTCAACTCCTATTGATAGATCAAGCATGGCCAGGCAGGTAGGTGTACAGGTGTTCTTCTCAATGTTATGGGCTGGGAACAACCAGGTATATCCTTTCATAACCTTGAGGAAAACATAGATGAAGGCAGGATGCAATTTCTCAGGTTCCTTAGGGGAAAGCCCTAAGAATGGTGGGAGGCAGTGATAGAAATGCTCAGATAAATATGGGTTAGTGCATGAGGTAGCTTGTTCTACACCCCCGAGGAAGCCTCACAAGTGGCATATCCACCCTGGATCTTTAATGTCAGCGGGCATTACAAGAAAGATGAGCCAGGGCAGTATTTTCCACTGCAGATCTGCGACAGGCAAAGCATACAGGATTTACTGCCTACCCCAGCAGTGCAGGGCATATATTCTGAGGTTGAAATAGGAAACAATGTGCATGGATTTTATGCTGCGAGCAAACATCTGGTGAGTGCCAGGTGGTAAAACGGCATTCTGTAGCAGTCCTGTGGGAAGATCATGGCAAAAGCAGGCAGCAACAAGGTTCCAGAAGATGCCCTGTGGATGTCTGGCCTCACACCCCATTGAATGAGATCGTACCTATAAAACCTCTTTGCCCCAAACTCCTCTACAAAACCAATGTCTCATAGCAGCAGCAAAAGCTGAGGAAAACTGAAAGCATGATCCGCTATACCACAGTGGCTGATTATAAGCCTGCAATTTAAATTACAGCAGTGCACACAGCACACTCCCTTAGAGCTGTTCTTCAAGAGGCCTCTGAGCAAACTAGACCAATTATAGAAAACGCAGGGATGCTATTTTCTTTACACAGCTGAGGAGTCTGAATTAATTGAACTCTAAAATTCCTTCCATAGGAAGCTAGAATTCTAAATCAATTTGACTTCAAGTGGGATAATTAACAAAATGACCTCAGAAATGGTGTCAGTTATTGAAGGCATGTAGTGGAAAAAAATTTTCCCAAGAGGAACATATCTGACTGGCAGCCCGAAAGAGAATTACAATTTTCATCTTCAAGTTTCAAAGATTATGGCCTCTTAAATTTGATTAATGAACCATTAGCAGACATCTAAACTTCCTACTTGAGTCAATTATTAATACTGCCAATCAGAAAATTAATAAGCACTGATTGTGACAGCTAACATTATTAGAGACTGAAACATCAGATATGTTGTTTCCATCCCAGGAAAAAAAAATCTGCTACGATTAATATTTATCATTAATGGCGAAAACAGTTAAAATAATAAGCTGATAAGCAGGACCCTGATTGCCTGTCTCAGTGGCCCTCCAAGCTCCTGTTATTTCTAAAGAGCCTCTTGGGACAGCTAATGGTTAAACAGATCTATGACACCTAAATAATCTAGAGGATTCTGGCAGATTAAAAGAGTTTAGATGTGCAAAGTTGTCTAGGACTCTTTTGATTAATTAAGGCCACAACCTGGTGCCTATTACCTCCGAATAACTTCTTCCAGAAGTCAGGCACTGTGGGGAACAAAACATGGTAATGCTTTTGGGAGGGTTCTTTAATTTGTTCAAGGAACATTTCTTTCTGCATCTAATGAAGGTTCATCCTATGATGAACAGTGAGATACAGAAATGAAGGCATGGTCATTCCTGAATAATCTCTTATTACATAAGAAAGACAGACAGAGAAGAATCACAACAGAGTGTGACGAATGACTAGGTAGAATGGCCCCAGGACAATGTATAAGGGAAGGCTCAGATGTTTGTTCTTATGTTGGTTCTCCCCAATATAGCAGATAGTTTTAGACACTTTGTTTCTAAGCAATATTTTATTTCAACAAAACCATGTTGTCCTTCATTATTAAAAGGAAAGCAAAGGCAATTATCTTTTTGATACATATATGAGTGCCTGTAGTTGGCACCAGATCCACACGGAATGTTTTGCATAAATTATTTTTCTGTAGAACTAGATATATCTTCCCAACAAGATATTAAAAAAAACCCTTACCATTACCAAGTATGCACTCCATAAAAGTGTTCAAATATGTGTTATTAAACATGTACTACTGATGGATTTAAAGAGTAATAAAGTACTGTTTACATGGTCTAGCATGGAATCATAAGTCATTTCTAGTGATTCAAAGGTGAATTTATTTTCGACAGAACCAAGCTATATTATAACATTATTTTAATATTATTTATTAGAAAGTAGAATTTAATATTGTGGAACTCATTCCTGAAGGAGCAAATGAACTTATCAATGAGAAATAGTATTGCTACAGTGTTTGTGTGGCTTCACAGGGTACAAAACAGAAGCTGCAATTCTTGATTCTATTATTGACATTTCACTCAAGAGGATCTAAATTGCCATTTCATTCTTTTCATGCATAATACTTTTAGGTATTTAATTCATTTATTTTTGCAATGCTGGGAATGGAACCCAGTGCTTCACTCATGCTATCCTCATGCCACTACTGAGCTACATAATTCAGTTGTGTCAATTGTGGCAGAAGGCATATATATTCAGGACAATTCAGGAAAACTTCCAGTGGTGAGCAGCACTGAGACAGTGAGCAGTGTTGAGCTCCATCACCAGAGCTGCTGTACAACTGGGCAGATCATGTGGAGGCTTAAGAAGGAGATACCAGAGAGATGACAGTAGGCGACATTTGTTTTGGTAAGTGACCCACTACTGAACTATAGCCCCATTGTTTTTTTGAGACAAGGTTCCACTGGGTAACCCAGGCTGGTCTTGAAATGGTGGTCCTCCTAGCTCTTGAGTACTGGGATTTCAGGCATGCACCACTAAATCTAGCTCATAGGACAAGCTTTAGGAATTCAATGTGCAATGTATTGTACCTAATTAAAACGTTCCTTTATCCTATGGATGTGATTACAGATTCAAAAGTATTCAATCTCAGGATTTTTAAAAGTTTAAAGACCCAATGCAAGCTTTGCTTTGTTCTTAGGCAGTTGTCAATCAACTCAGCTTCTGACCCTTTAAGCCCTCTTAATCCCTCCCTCCAAAACTGAGGAAGTCATTTGAGACAATTACCCTGGAATTCCTTTCTTTTTCTCTTCTAGTGTT